CTATCCACAAGAGTGAGCGCAGGGTGCCCCTCCAGCTGTGCATGGAATCATAGGGAGCGATAACTCTGAAGGGGTTTCCCCGAGTCCTTGCACGTCTTCCGATCCGGTCTGCATCGCCGGGGTGCCTTCCTCCCTCGTCGCTGCACCTTCTTCAGCCGACCGCGCGGTGGCTGCCTTGCGACGCGGCGGGGTCGAACATCTCTCCCTTGCCACAACCATCGTCTTCTTGAGCATGACGTACTCGCGCTCCCAAGCTCGAACGCGAGCATCCGCCTGGCGACGCTGCTCCAGCATCTGTGCACGCTCCGAATCAGTGAGTTATGAAGAGCTCATTCGGGCTATGATACCAATCTGATAGATAGAAGAAGAATTAGGGATTGAGAATTTAGGAATTAGGGATTAAAGAAGAGAATTGGGGATAGAATTGAGAGATAAGATTAGGAATTGGGATTAATAATCTGATATATTCTTAATAATAATCCGAATGAGGTTCTCCTCCTTAAATATTAGGACTGCAATAATAACACAAAACAATACCCAAACTACCTGGCCACACTCGGCCTCAGCCCGACCCGTCCCCATGTGCCGTGTTTCCATCACTAATCCTAACTGGGATCGACCAAAAAGTGCAAGTTACGGTGACTTGCAAGGCACCATAGGCGCACCCTATGAATTAAATATTTTAATTTTTAATTATTTATTTATTTTTTTGAATACCTTTGACAAAATTTCTGGGTCTACCACTGAGAGGTGTCTCACCTTTTGAGACCTAGGTGTCTAAATTTTTATCTTATTCACGTCTAACTCCAAGTTGAGTTCTTCTAGGTGGAACCCAACTATCTAAAAGAATAGAACAATAAAACATCCTCTCTTCTTCACTAGCACGCACTAAAAAGAGAACATACACAAATTACAAATTTATGCTACTTATTAATTAAAAAATTTATATATCTGGATACGACTCGTATGCTCCTGATGATCTGGCCGTTAGATTTACATGGACGAGCTCCGACCAATTTTAACGGTCAACTCTTACTTTCTCTTAAATTAAACATTTGAGGAAAGGGTTGGTGACTCGCACAAAACTGCACCACAATTAAACCCCAATTAGAGCCCAAGTTTTTAAACTCTAATCGGGTGCAGTATAGGGCAAGTATTTATATATCGACCCGGGCCGGTCCGTCTACCCCTACTTCGGTTGTTGAAATCATTATCTAGCGATAAAACTTTGGTTTAAAGGTTTGCCAATTGAAATGAAAGAAAACAAAGGTGCTTTGGTTTGAAAACTCTTTTGTGGGAAAGTCACTTGGGTTTCGCTTCCCCCTAGCCGCTACCATGCTACGTGGGTTGGAACGATTGCCTTAGGCACGTTAATCATGAACCGCAGAGGAAAGCGTATGTGGTCGGAGACCACAGTCTCGATTGCTAAACGAAGGTGAGGATGAAAGGTCGTGTCACTCGACCCTCTTGATTTAGACAATCGGTAATCGGCTTACTTCCTCATTCAACTCTAAGGTCGAACGGTTAAACCACGATTAATCGACTTATTCAATTCAATATTTAGGGTTGCCCTAACTCAACCTAGTTTAGGTGTCTTGGAAAGAGGAAGGAAAACCAACTCGATTGAGTCTCCCTTAAAAAGGGGGATTTTTCTCTCTAAACTAGGCTAAGTTGGCAAATTAGATTACTAGCACCTAAATGCACAAACTTACGGGTGCTAAGCACAATTATGCACAATCCCTAGGATGCTAAGCACAACACATGCACAACCCCTAAGTTGCTAAGCACAAGCATGCAAAATCATGGTGAATAATGTCTCAAACATTAAATTGAACAATACCCAATATCAGTCATCCAACCCACATACAAGAAAACTACATGGTAGAGTTAGGGTTTCACTACACCCAAATGAAAGGAAGACTACTCCATGGAAGAAGTGGGAAGAACAAAAGGGAAAAAGGTGGAAACCATCTTTTGGGGATGCCTCCTCTCTTCTTCAACCTTGAGCTGGGATTTCCTTGGGGAAATCTTCCCAAAATCTGCCTTTGAAGTCAAGCCCTAACCTCTTCTTCTCTTTTGGTTATGTTTCTCTCACTAGAATGCTAAAGAAGGTGTTTCTTTCACAAAAGTGGCTCCTCCCTCTCTCCTTGCATCTCAACTTTTAATCCCGAGAAGAGCTGAGTTCATGGCCTGAGTTCACGGCCGTGAACCATCAAACGCGTCCGTGAACTCAAGCCTTGTGCCAAAACGCTCCGCATCGCTCACGTCAATTCACGGGCAACTGCTTGTTTTCACGGTCTTAGTGATCGTGAACTCGCCTTGCGTCAGTAAGCTTCAACTTGGCTCTGGACTCCTTGCGCTTCACGGTCAACTCCCTTCCTCACGGTCTTGCACAGCTGTGAACTCCTGCCTTTAGCCGTGAACTTGCGCTTTTCCACCTCTTCTGTTGGTTTTCTATCCTTTTCGCCAATCCTTCGACTCCGAGGCTGGTTCCAGCTGTTAAATCCTAAAAGCACATAAACACGAAGAACCTCGCATAAAACCAACCTTTAATGAGCGAATTTGGCACAAACATCTAAGCAAACCGGGGCCAAAATATGTGAAATTAGGCCCAAATCATTCCCCCACACTTAGACGTTTGCTTATCCCCAAGCAAACCATTTCACGCACACGGTAATATTTCAACATACACAAATCTTTGGGGACAACTCAAAGGACACGAAGCGGGAATTCTCGATGTTTATTGACAATCAACACATGAACCGTTGCAAGCAATACCGACATCCACCACAAACGACATTCAAAGCCACCAAAACGGGCAAATGAAAAGTTCTCAACTTATTCATGGATAATTTCAAGTCTCAACAAAACCACTTATCGACCACAACCAACCATGTATGGAATTCAGGTCCGAGGAACAAATGGAAAGGCAACAAAGGTCCTCACTGGGGTATGATATGACATGCAAAGCAAGAATGAATCGCTCACTCTCAAGACCAGTGGGTTCGGGACATTTTTGGTGCAAAAGATGTGCACAATCGTAACCTCTTGGCCCTATCGTCTCAATACCACGGCGGTAACCTCTAAACGCTAGAGTTCACGGGATGGTTGTCACCACTAGCTCGTCCGGAGGTCTTAGATACGGGTTCAGATGACTGGCGATTGGCTTGGACATGGGGAAAAGACTTTTTGTGTGGTAGCAATCATGACGTGAGGTTCTACATCTTCAACCTAAATCCGAAGGGTCTATGGTTTCGACTAAAACCCTTCTCTTCAATCAAAGGCCACTAGCATCGGCCAAAACCCTTATCTCTCCCTTCCAACTATCACCAATCATGAACTACCTTGAAGCACTCTGCCTCGGTCAACTCTTGCTAGTTCTTTAAGGTTTGGTAGTGAAGGAGTTCTAAACAATGTGGGGGTTTCGTTGGCTTGGGTGCAGAGAAACCCCTTCCTAGTAAAAAAAATTATTATTACTTTTTAATTTCTGTATTTTGTTTCCTGTATTTTGTTTACTTTCTAATAATCAAAAAATTAATATTATACAAAAATTCTATATGATGAATGTCGATCACATTTTCCACAGCACCAACAAAAAAAATTGTATGATAAAAAACTTATTTTTTATAATATATATTTTTTATTATTAGAACGTAAAAAAAAAATACAGAAATTAAAAAAACAAATTTTTATACCCTGCTAGGTGACGTGGCAAGTGAGCTGGACCTTGACTAACGGTCAACTCGTTTGACCGTCTAATTTGACGGTCAAACCCGCCTCCGGGCCAAATAAGGAAGTTTGCTACATAGTTAAGGCCAAGATAGCAATTTCCGATACCACGGGCCAATGTAGAAAGTTAGTCTATAGTACGAGCCAAACTAAGGTATTAACCCTTTTATTTATGATTCATTTTCTTCATTTCCAGCTTCCTCGTCAGCTTTTGTGGTACACTATGGATTGCTAGTTTAATTACTAACTTGAATTTAATAAAAACATTATGATTTCTTTTGTGATATAGTGTGACTAATTTGTTAGAACATTTGTTGATAGATGATACGAATTTGAAATAGTTCATGGTTAGAGTGATAAATTCAGTTCTAAATTAGTATATTATATATGTATTTTATGTTATAGTGCCTGAACAATTTATTAACAGTGAGTTAACAGTTTTATAACGGTTAACCGATGAACCAGGAATCACTAACTTTTCGTTTCAAATTCCGGTCCGATTCTAAAACAGAGAAAATTACACATGGCAACCAACCGAGCCGAATTGGGTGATTTTGGGAGATCTCGAGTTCAAGCCATAGCAGGTTGGATCTTGTCGGGTTGGTTTATTTTGAGCTATATATTGACCTAAACTATAACTTTTAAATTAGATATAGTTACATGTGTTCTTAGAAATAAGAACAAACATCCTTCAAATTTGTTTAAAGAATACAAAATTTCACACATGTATGACAACAATTTACCTAAAATGTTGCGCATTCTCAAATACTCACATGCTAATAAAAGGAAATACAAATTATACAAAACGCCAAAGAAACATCACGAGAATAATAATACTACAAGGAGTACATGATATTGTATTACATGTACATTCCAAACCTCGATTTCAACTCCTTCCGCATATTTTTAAACATCTCACCAATCTATTAGTGATTCTTTTAATGTAGAGTTGAATAGAATTTGGAGTGGGTCGATTTTCATACCCACCCAACCAAAAAAATCATGATCTAATCAAGTTTGGGTCATTGGAATTTTTTTTCTTTGAATCCATTCGAATTTTGAGTTATAATAACTTCTAACTCATTTTAATTGTTGGGCTAGCATTATTTGTCAAGTGATCCAATATAAAATAAACAAGTCAGATGAGTCCCATACAACCCATAAAGCATACAAGTTGCTGGGAAAACCTCTGACCAAGGATGGTCGAGTTTCTTATTACATGAGTAGTATCAGTAGAAAACAACATTAGGTTTTTCATCCTATTCAATGAAACCTTAATCAACACTCATGATGAGAATAATAGCTTGCGAATGACCACTATCTTCTCTCCCTCCAACACAAACAAACAACACAAAAAAAGAAACTAAAAGAAAAGAAAAGTCAAACCTACACAAGAATAAGGAAACCCCAAGCAGAACGACGTCGTACGTGGCTCACAAAGTTAATTCAAAACCTCGTCTTTCAAACTCCCTCTTAAGTAATTCTCTCCCTCCTCAAGCCATCTCAACCTGACCACCTGCTCCGCCCGACTTGGTCGAGTGCGGAATCTCCTGATCGGCGCCGTAAAACGAGTCGTGCCTGGACTCATACTTCTCCCCATCTCCCCACAACGCGTAAGCCTCTTCCCCATGGATGGCGTCATCGCCGGTGCTAAGCTCCTCCTCAGACAACCTCAACGGAACCACCAATCTAATCAACACACATATGATACTGGTCATGATGACGTTGACGAAGACGACGAAAAGTATTCCGAGCAGCTGGACACCGAGTTGCTTGAACCCTGCCCCAGCGCGGTTGTCGTGGAAGCCGTTGAGCAAGCCGATGTAGTGCTCCCACTCAGGGACAAGGTAGAAAATCCTGCACAACTTAGGCTCCGCGAAGATTCCGGTGAGGATACCTCCGAGACTTCCTGCGATGGCGTGGGTGTGAAAGATGGCCATGGTGTCGTCGACGTGCTTGAGGAATGAGATCTTCTTGTGGAGGACCATCATTGTGTACCATGGAATGCTTCCTGACAGGATCCCCATTATTATTGCTGCCCATCCTTGCACTACTCCTGCATTGCATATATTAGAGAGTGATATAAGATTAATAATAATTTTTTCCAATAATTCGAGTTATTGGAACCAATTGGTTGTTAATATGGTATTAGAGTCTGGTTTGGCCAAGTGGTCATGTGTTAGAATCTCCACAACCCCTAATATTAGCGATTGATTAAAGCACAAGATATAATGGGTCTGTGCAAACTTCAAGCCCGTGATTTGGCTTTCGTTTGAGGGGAGAGTGATATAAAATTCAGAATAATCTTCTTACAATAACTCGAGTTATTGGAATCTAACTGATGATTATTGACAACATATGTTTTCATTTTTCAATAAGTGTGAGTCCATTGGTAAGAGTTAGTCATGTTAGCATTATAGTTGTTTACTGAAACTAACCAGCTGCAGGAGTGATGCAGACGAGACCGGTGATCATGCCCTGGATGGCTCCGATGACGGAGGGCTTGCCGAAGAACATAATGTCGAGGAGTAGCCAGACCAGCAAGCTAGTAGCCGTGCACACGTGGGTGTTGAGTACGGCAAGAGAAGCATCGACACTAACGGTATACGGATCTCCACCGTTGAAACCCGTCCATCCCATCCACAGCAGCCCAGCTCCGGCCAACATCAGTAGTATGTTGTTGGGCGGGAACCTCTCTCTGTCTTTGTTCGCCCTGGGACCCACCTGCCATCACATCAAATCAAATTAATCTGAATTACTATATATTATTATCCTAGTCATATATATACAAAAATTCGATGATGTTGCGTACGTACCCAGAAAGCGGCGGTGAAACCAGCGACGCCGGAGGAGAGGTGAATGACGTAACCGCCGGAGTAATCGATGATGCCCTTCTTGGCGAGCCAGCCGGTGGGGCACCAGATGCTGTAAGCGGTGATGGTGTATGAGAAAGTGAGCCAGAGAGGGACGAAGATCATCCAGGCGTGGAAATTCATCCTCCCGAGCAGAGCTCCGGCGATGAGGATGAGGGTAATGGCGGCGAACACGAACTGGAAGTAAACCATGGTAGCGTTGGGAAGGTATCCGACGAAGGTCCTGCTCAGGAGGAACTTCTCATCGAGGGCGACGTCCGGCTGGCCGAGGAAAGGGATGAATTTGTCGCCGAAGGCCATCTGGTAGCCCCACCCGACCCAGCAGATGAGGACGGCGGCGAAGGCGTAGAGGGCCATGAAGGCCGAATTCACGGCCCACTTCTTCTTCACTATGCTGCCGTAGAGGATGACGAGGCCGGGGACGCTCTGCATCCCGACGAGGGTTGCGGCGGTGAGCTGCCATGCGTTGTCGCCTTTGTTCAGCCAGTCTGGGCTTCCCTCGTCAGTGGCTAGGTTCAATGGGAGCGCCATGTTTGTTGGGTTTCCTTTTCAGAATCTGTTTGTTGGGTGGAAAGAATGAGAGAATCGAGGAGTGATGGCAGGGGAGAAACAGAGGACTCTGTTTTTTTTATAAGGTGGCGAGATAGAATGTTCTGGCGGAGTGTGCTGTGTTTTAATTTTGGCCGCGTTTGGTTTTGGGTTCGGCGGAGAGTGCTGTGTTGGCAGCTGTGAAAGTTTCCATGAAAAAAGCTTTCTTAATTAATCTTCTTTTGCTATGCATCTTGAGGAATCTGTGTCTAGGAAACTCTGGGGCAACAACAAGGCATGTCTTATATTCTTGTAACGTGAAGGGTGATGTGAAGCAGTTGAGGCTGAATTCACGAACCCAAATAGCCAAGGGAGACAGGGGATACAAAAAGAGTTACCAGTTACTGGGCTTTCGTTTGGGTGGTACGAGGGCATACTTTTCTTTCCTGCAATGGGGCAAGCATATCTTAATTGAATTTGGACATTACTGCCAGTCGCTCGCTCAGCAAAAATTTTCTGCACAATGCACAAAATGAAACCAGTATGAGTAGTCTCATGTCCGCTCTTTTCTCCTATCTATACCTTAGTCCCTCTGGAGGGGCACAACATGAAAATGATCGACCTACGAACAGTAGTGAACCGAACTGGGTTGTGTCCTGATGAGCACTAGATGAGTCTCTTGGATCAGAAGGGTGCACCCACAAATTGAATTGAAAAATCTACTCTTCTTCGAACAAGAACAGGGTAAATTTGAGAGGGTTTTTGATGGAACTTTTCCACAAATTAAATTGAAAAATCTACTCTTCTTCGAACAAGAACAAGGTTAAATTTGAGAGGGGTTTTGATGGAACTTTTCGTGAAATCTTATACCAGGAAGAAGGCTCGAAAGGTATGGGTAGAAGCTGGTCACGATCAAGGTGATTACTTGATCGATAAAAGCAAACAAGTCGCCCGAAATCCACCAAGCACCTCAAACAATCCACGAAGCCAAAGCTCAATGAACCAAATCTCACGTTTGTATTCATTTAATCGATTCTAGCTATTACAATGCAATTGGACGACTTAAATTGACCTAGGCTAGCTAAACAAACCAATAAGAAAGTCCCAAACACAAACAAACTCGGAAATTAAGTGCAAACAGAAAAAGGTAAAGAGTAATCATAATCTTCAAAGGATTCGGATTGTTTGAGTTCCAAAGACAGAAACACAACATCAAATATGATCTTTGGAGCTTTTGGTTCGAAGTCTTCCAATCTTCATTCCAGTCATCCAATGCCACATCGTTGTAGTAAAAGATGCATACTTTCATGTGGTATCAGCCTTGAAACTCGACTCTCGCTCAAACTCTTTGAATGGAAGCCCAAAGAAGCCCTCCCTATCTCGTTTATATACTTAGGCAATTTCAGGCTTTTCACGTGTCGAGTGAGATTTTTGAACAACTTGAAAAATGACCTTCTAGACTTCCCCTCGAGCTTCCAAGCTCTCCAATGGATAGAAACCCCATTTGTCTTCAAAACAAGCCCTTAACCTCCCATTTCCATTGAGTCAATTGAAAGAACAGAGCTCGCAAAGTCGGCTACCTGAAACGTGAAAAACACTTGAACAATTTTTAGGCTCTTTCTTGTAATTCAACTTGACATCTTTGTCGATCAATCCTGAAGGGAAAACGATCGATTCCAGGATTGTATCACGTCTCATGTGAATCACCCTTTAATTGGCATGTGGTCGGGAGTAGTTTTTTTCATTCGATTGCTTATGATATTTCTTTTTGAAGACATCTTATTGATACCCACTTTATTCGATTGTAAAACTTGGTTGTGAGAAAGTACAAAACCGAGCATCTTTCGACATACCTAAACCTTTACCTAAGAATTAAGGTTTTGCACGTAAACAAACTTACCACTTTAGTCATTTTTCAAACATTTGAATCGAGATACGTTGAGAATCAAACAAGGTCACTTCAGTTCATAACATCTCATACACTATGATCCTCAACATTGGTCAAGACAATGGGAAGCAAGATTCATCGATTCAATGCAAGTAATTGCATTGCAAGGGAGCAAACTTGGAGTCCTCAAATTAAAAAAATATATGGGTATACTTACAGTGGACAGGTTACGTTGATTACTGTAAAATAGTAATCACCATGGTTACTAAGTGCAAATTGGGTATGATAAAAAAAATTAATTATATTTTTTAATAAATTATATTTTAGGAAGTTACAAAAATATATTTCAATTTTATCTCTCTTTCTCTCACTTTCACAATCTCCAGCCAGATCTCTCTTTTTTACTCAATCTTTTCCTTCTCCGTTCAATCGAAAATAATAACACTTCAAAGAAAAAACAAGAATCAATATCAATTTGTTAGACAACCACACCCATTTCGAAAAAATCAGTACAAACAAATCAATACCAATCCGTTAAACAACCACTACCATTTCGAAAACACCAATATTATTGTAGAGATAAATCAATACCAATCCGTAACACAACCACTGCCATTTCGAAAAGCACCAATACCATTGCAGAAATAAATCAATACCATTACACTAAAAAATAATACCGTTGAAAATTTAACTAATACCAATACATGATGATCACTACTAATACAATAACATCAATACAAAAAAAACCAATATAATTGCATAATCAATACCAATGCGAAAACATATTACCAATATGAAAAAGATAATACCAATATAAAATACATACCAATATGAAAATTTTAGATATGAAATCCAACCGAGATGTTATTAGTCGATCTCCTTGTGTGTGTGTGTGAGAGAGAGAGAGAGAGAGAGAGGATGTGAGAGGAGAGCGGTGAAAGGAAGAGACGTGGCGGGGAGGAAAGTGGGGTGAGGAGAAACCAGGAGGGGAGCGCCAACAGTGAGAGGTGGGATGAAAGAGAGAGAGGATGGGAGATGGCGATGGGCGGTGGGAGGGGAGCGCCCGCGGAGGGAGGAAGGTGGGGTGAGAGAGAGAGATGAAATCGGATGAAATAGAAGAAATTAAGGGTGTAGATGTATGTAGCCACCATGGTTCCTCAAAATTGAGTAATCACACTAACCCATTCCTGCTTACAGGGCTTCAAGTGGTAGAAGTATGCTAAAATATCATCCACAATCACTCAAAAACATACTCTCCTGCTCAATCATTCAAAACATACATAACACCAGAGAGAATAATCAATCACAACCATTTCATACAAACATTCATGCACAACCCGACCAAACTTAAGGACCACATTGTCCACAATGTGAGCATGGGGTAAAGGATATTTGATTACCGATATAAATGCGATCGAGTCGATTGTGGTAGATCTGGGTTGGGTGGGTGGGTTTGATTGAGAGAAACATTCATAACAAAGAACTAAAAAAATGTCACATCAAGGAAATAAAACTAAAAAAAATAATCTTCGAGCCAACAACCAACAATAAAAACTTAAAAACATAAGTATGAATTGTGCAAATAATAACACCCTACTTAGAATACTTGAATAAAAACACACAATACTACTTAACATGCTACACAATTCATTATTCAAATGCAATGTATATATATATATATATATATATATATATATATATATATATATATATATATATATAGAGAGAGAGAGAGAGAGAGAGAGAGAGGGAGGAGTAGAGAAATTGGCCATCGGTGCCATCAAGCCATGAGAAGATATAACTCTCCATTGTTGTCATCGGAGGAGGAGTCGGCTTGCAGAGAGATGTAGGGATATGGGATGTTGTGGTGTCACATGATCCTCCATTGACCCAACATCTTACAGGTCTGGTTGGCCAAGATAAGGTCATTTTGTCTTGCCAGGCTGGCCAACCTAGCCTCGTAGGTCTCCTCTTAGCCTCAAAAGGTGGACGGGAGGGGCTTGTCCCATCGTGTGGTGGAGGTAGCAGGGGATGCTCTGGATTGTCTCCTTCCTCGTTGTCATCCATATTCACGTGAGTGATGATGTATCCCATCCACTTGATAGTGTGGGAGGTGAGTGGCTTAGTGCTTGAATTGGCGATGGCTCGAAAGTAGGGAGGAGCCAGCTCAAAGTGTTTAGCGAGCGAGTGACGAATGCTCCTTCATGCAGTCTCTTATGCTCGCCTTCAGCAGTGGCTTACATGAATAGCTGAATTACCGTCCATCCCAAATGAAATGGAACTCTCTAATGGAGGTGCTGGAGTGGAAAAGTTTTTATAATTGAATAAAGACTTCAGGAATTCTAAAAAACGGAAAGGAAAAGAAGAATGAATCAATGAAATCTTGCTTGGGCAAGATTGGAAACTTGAGTAAGGAGTAGCTCTTTCTTTTTTATGTGATTTTTCTATTTTGAAAGAGATCCGTAGAGGACACCGAAATAGGAGTTGGAGTAGTTGATGAGGAAGTGGCATATCTAGTCGCCCATCCAATTTTGGGTTCTCTTGGTATATCTAGTCGTCCATCAAACTTTGAAATCTTTCTTGGTGAGGTTGTCTCACCAAGATTGAAGAAGCACATTGGTGTCTTCATCGCCTTCCCTCCTCAAAGTTTGGTAAAGTTTGGTTCTGGTGAACTCCTCGGTATAGATCTCGAGTGCCACGCTGAAGGATGTGACACTTATACTCCTAAGAAATACTCCAAGTTTGAAGGTAATGGTACCCTCCTCGTCAAATTCAAAATTAGGATCACTTCATGAACGCAGTTGAAGGTGATTAGGAACTCCATCATGGGCTTTGTGAATATCTTCTCTCTCATGGTGAGTATCATCAACCATTCACCATGGCTACACAGATCCCCCGGTACTTCTCTACGTCTAATGGATTAAATGGTCTTTCAAAGAATAACTAGATGTTCCCCAATATCCTTATACAAGAGTTCCACTAACTTCTTATGTTCATTAAGCGCAAAGAGAGTGTCGTGTTGCGCCCCAAGAAGTTGTTGTCTCAGAGGCATGCTCCTACAAAACAATCATTTGGCAACAACTAGCACAACATCCACAATCTCATAGCAACGTTC